TTATCTCTCTCAGACATCGACCACAAAGAGGCAGCTGCAACATGACCTGAAAAACAAGCCAACTTGACCAAGTGGATAAAAGAAAAGAGTAGAAAATGTGATAGAAGACAGGAATGGAGGTGGAAGTTGAGTAGGGTAAGGAGGAGGAGGAGGCACAGTTAAGGAGAGTCGACTGAAGCAAAGAAGCCCAGGGGTGGGGAAGGAAAGGAGCTAGGAGGGTGATGTGAATCGGTCAGCTTGTTCCCAGAACAGCTTCCCAACAAATCACAGCATGGCTTCAGACTGCACTCCGACTCTATTAAACACACACACACACACGCATATATTTTCTTGTAGTATATTGCTGGGTGTGTACATTTGAGGATATACAGTTAGATAAAAACACAGCCTATGTCACTGACACTGACTGATGCAGGTCAGTTTAAGGTTTCCAATCTCCAGTGCAGAGAGTTTACCGACCTGCAAACATCCTGCCTGTACATTCATGTGAACACAAACTTTAATTATATGACCCAATAGCACAATCATAAATTTCACAGCTGCTCCCTTCTAAATGGACACTCTCTTAAATAACCTGTTAACAGTGTGTTTATATGGGCCTACCAAGAAAGACACGAGTTAGCTCCACTACAGGACCAGGATTTACAGTATTACTGGACTGTCACGTGCAGCTTCTCCATAGTAGGAACATGACAGCTTGGTTAAGACTGGCACTCACAGCACATTAATGGATAAAATCTACCATGATTGTAAATTGTCTGTCTTCCTGGGTTGTGATATGAGGCATCACCCATTTTAAAAACCTTTAAAAAAAAACTTTCCCTATTCCAAAATCCAACCCATCCCCTTACAATTATATGTTGAACCTTTGACATCAAAGATCATGGAGGATCAAGAAATGCATGCTGTACTGCAACAACACTGATCAGCCACGTTGACCTGATCAGTGTTTGATTGTTGTGTCTTGTTGCTTTTCTTCTTTTGTCTCTCCTCTATCCACTCACCCCAACCGGTCGAGGCAGAAGGCCGCCCACCAAGAGCCGGGGTCTGTCGGAGGTTTCTTCCGTTAAAGGGAGTTTTTCCTCCCCACTGTCGCCAAGTGCTTGCTCAAGGGGGATTTGTTGGGTTTTCCCTGTGTAATAATATTGATAACAGTAAGGTCTAGACCTTACTTTGTAAAGTGTCCTGAGATGACTTTTGTTGTGATTTGGCGCTATACAAATAAAAATTGATTTGATTTGATTTGATTTGATCACTGAAGTTTCTGGTCTTCAGCTACACTAGCAGCTCTATCAGGCTGCACTTAATAAGCTCAAAACAGCCTCAAGAGCTGGCATTCATTTGTTTTTTACTTATTACAGCCTTGTAACACTGTCTCACCTGTAGTTAATACACAGTATATGGTTGCATAGTCCCTGCTGGATTAATTTCAGTATACTAGTGAATTAGAACTTCATAACATCACTCAAATCCTCTGCAATCACACATGATCCAACTATTTACATTTCATCATCTGTTAATATGAGACTGGTGGATGGAAATGAAGTGGCCACATAAACAGCAGGGACAGGAATGTCACTGGATTGAGGCCTAAATGGGTGTGATCTTGGCTCCAGTGGCTAAAAAGAGTGCACGAGGGACTTAGCAACAACTAAAGCTCTGATGCAGCTTCCCCAAACGTTTCCAGCTCTCCAGAACAGGTGTCAGGATCTGGAACAAGCAAATAGCGGCTAACACAGGCAGCTTCTTACTTAGCTATCAGGTCACAGGCCAGAATCCTTTCCAGGTAAACTGGAAAACGTCAGCAGTAACAAGACAGAGGTGGGAAATTGATGCAGATACAGGAAGCTAAAGTCTAATTCTGAATATGTTGTAGGAAATTGGTTGGCCAGATAAACTGCTCCATCATTAAGCAGGATTAAAGTCATGTGAGCTTTCTGCACTGAGACACTAACTGTAATTCTAAATTTAACTTCAAATATAAAATAGCTCATAATCGAATTTTAGGAAGATGCTCAGATCCTTAACTAAAGTAAAAGTAGCAATTCCACAATGTAAAAGTATTACAAGTAAAAGCGCTGTGTTCAAAATTCTGCTTGGGTAAAAGTACATACTAGAATTATTACCAGCAAAATGCACTTAAATACTCAAATCTTAAAGGCACAAGATAATATTTGCATGTACACACTGTTGTCCTGTAAAACAACATGAAAAACAGTAAGTGTTAGGACTTTAGGGGCTCTCTGATTAGTTCCAAAAACTGGTAATATCAAGTGAAGTACCTAAAAACTGTCCTTGGGTACAGTACATGAGAAAATGTACTTTGCTACTTTACTGAGTTATAGTTACATTAATTTATTTCCCTTAATTTTTTTGGTTCGGTTTGGGGCAGAATAAGCTGCAGTGTATTTTTAGTGTAGGTTTATTAGAGATTTTTCACAAGAAACGGTTGTAGCCCCTGAAACTAAAACAATAAGTTTCAACAAGTTAAAAACACCCCTAAACCCAAGGGACACTATCATTTGAGCTCATTTTAATAAGCATTACTTTCATATTACACATTGCATTAAAACCAGTGATTAGTGAAAGATATTTGATATACAATCTGATTCAAGGCGGAATTTTAAAAGATGGGTTAAATAACAGTGCACTGCAGAACAACAAAAGTGTACAGCGGACATTTTACAGTTCTTAAGGACCTGCTGTCTTTTCCTCTCTACTTTGGCTGTGATTGTAGTAATTACAATTATGAATCTTGGTTCCAAAACCAATTAAAATGTTCAGCCCAGACCTACTTCACATTCAGCAGTGTGATGTTCCCATCCAGTACAAGCTGTCCCAGTGTGTGCCTCTGGAGGCCCAGCATCAAGGAGCTGGTAAACTCATGGAGCCAGTCTCACCCCCACTCATTACCTTACTCGCTTCCACATACTGTATACACATAGGACCCTGCACGAACAAATAAAAATTACAGAGTACGAGTCCTCAGATGTCCCTGTACATACACAAAAATACACAACCTACAGTCTTCTTTTCTGTCCTGTTTTACCAAAGCTGTTTGGTAAAGAAAACAGATGTCAGTTTTATGATTCTTATCGTCACCTGCTGCCAGTGTGGAGTTTGGGAAAAGATTACAGCGTTCATGTAAGGCTTAAAAAATTCAGCATGAACCAGATGGGGCAGTCAAAAAAAGTTGTCATGGTTACATTGACTGCTGTACCGACGGAAAAGGACAGGGAAGATTAAGAAAAAGCTGCAGTATGTTTACAGAGTCTTGTCAGCGTCAGTTTCCTAACTGACTGTACATACTTCCTATTTTGAGTGTACACATTTTTATTTTTATATTTATTCTCATCTAAATCTTTTTTTTTAAATATAGTCTGTTGCTTTCCAAGCACAATGAGAGACTCTGTACAGGAGTTCAATTCCTTATGTCCTTAACATACCTGGCCAATAAAGTAGATTCTGATTCTGGTTCAGTTTTAAAATTAAACTTTGGTGGCCATATTTATCACTAAATCTTGAACAAATCAACGTATGTGCGGTCATGTTAATATACTACTCAGCTCATTCTGGTTTCAGTCTTCAATAGTGTCAACATTAACTATTTTTCCTTTTCTAAAGAAAAACAAGTAATTGTGAAATGTAGTTAATTTTAGTACAGTACAGTGTGTATGACAGGATATATAAGCACATTTTACACTTTAAAATATTCAGTGTTTTGAGGTTTAAGAGTTTAAAAAGTGAAAAATATCTACTCAGACCACTGTAGTAAATCAGTCTGTACATTCAGAGTTATAGAGATGAAGATGTTGTCAGTCCTTTAGGGGTGGAGTTGCTCTCAAGATGAACTAGTTTGTAAGCTGCTGTCTGACCATGTCAGTAATGAAAAGTGTTTATAGTTGCTCTCAGTGTTAACAGCTATACCTCATGTGAAGATCTTCACATTACATTCAAACTCTGTCTCCTTTCTAAACACTGCATCGCCTGCTAATCAAACAATCGGATAGACAATACCATCACACTTTCATATGAAGTGTCAGATCTAAACAATCTCCCTATTTACCAGTGTTTGGGAAGAAACAGCTGAGTTCTATTTACGCATTTCACAAGAGACTGTTTTGCAATGATGAACCCTCAGACTGGAGCAATGAATACCACACAACTAAAAATAAACTACATGGAGGGTGATTGGCATGACTGCATTCGCAATTTGATGTTACATAGGTAGTGACCTAATGTCTAAAAATACTAACATATAACATATCACCAGGAATCACTTTGAGGACTGGGTTCTTGATACCTGCCTGAATCTGATTCTCCATTCCTGTGTAAAAATCATCAATTATCTTAATTGTCTTCATAAAAGAAATATGCATTGTTGTGTCTACCCAAACTTATCACCACAGTTAGCTCAAAACTGCAGCAGGATGTTTTCACAACTGTGTCAAAATTTCATCCGCAGCTGTTTCCTTTTACCTGATGTGTCTTCATTTTTAACATCTTTATTTCAGTTTATTTAAGTCCCTCTGTCTTATGATTCTCAATCGTTGCTGTTGGATTCTGCCGTTATCTCTACCACTGTACGCCACAGTTAAAATGTCAGTATAGCAACTTTATCCATGAGAATCTGTTTTTGTCTGATGTCTCTTGGTTGTTCACTGGTTGGCATGGCCTTCTTGATTTAGCTTGCATCCTCCCACAGTCCAAACAGATGCAGCTTAGGTTGACCGGTGACTCTGAATTGCCCGTAGGAGTGAATGTGAGTGTGTGTGGTTGTTTGTCCACATATCAGCCCTGTCCAGGGTGGACCCTGCCTCTCGTCCCTCTTCAGGATAAGAGGTACAGATAATGGATGGATGAATAGATGTGATCTCTTTGTGTGACCACATTCTTAGCTTTGAAAAAAGTGAATGCTACACGTTTGTCTACCAATATATCAAATTCTAAAAGGGGATATTTTCTGAAAATATCAAAATAGTTTTCACACTATAGTTTTCTCCATTTATTCATTTACCAAAGAAAGTTACACTGATGACAGTGACATCAATGAACACACTAATTTGAGTGCTAAACAACAACAGACTACAGTTACCAAACATTTGTTCAGTTATTTCAGATCAACCAAAACCATTTAACTAATGAGCAAAAAAAAAAAAAAAAAAAGTTTAAAGATTCATAAATCATTCAATTCAAAAAGCAACTTGCACATTACAGTGGGCGTGTCAGTATTCTGATTAGCTGTTGCTTGTACTGTACTGGTTCTCTGAGAAAAATACATTTCACACACAGTCATTTGTTAACAAAAACATGCTATTACAAGTCTATCTTAGGCTGACTTTAAGGATTTTGGTTCAAGGTGTATCAGAGGGTTGAAAAACTTGAACCTCTTAGGGTGACTGGTCAGACCAATCTTTTTCAAACTAACCCTCATCCTGATGGAGCTGTAAATGGCCTACATGACCAGTGTACTTACTCCTTTTTTTATAGCAACTATGTTCTCTCCAAAAAGCTCCCCAAATCAAACAAGACACAGGAAATCATTTACATTTTAGATCACTGCACCAACAGTGACTTGCTGTACAGTGGGGAGTGTCTTTCATAAGGGTATTTTTCAAGATGCGTCGTTTCCTTCTGAGCTACACACCTCCCCAATATACTAACCAAAAACTCTATCAGGCTAATGTCTCAAATCAGACATCGTCTGTGCTGAGTAAATAAAGTCACACGAATTATCAGGAGATATGTCACTCAAGCCTTAACACCTTCGTTATCGCCCATTCTTCTGCTTAACTTCTCTGAAAAGAAGCTAACTATCATTAACTGAATGATAGTTAATTCATTAGATTAAGTCTCGTTGACAGTCCAAACATCGGGCCTATCCCTGTGTGGATCAGCGTTTGAAATACAGGAACCATTGGCCAGACAGTTCCCCAAGTACCTGACTCTGAGGGGAGTTTACTGCTGTGTGGTAGTGAAGCGAAGCTTGGCCCCTGGCCTGTGGCCCTCCGGCTCTGGGTAGATAGTTCTGAACGTCAGGTTGATGCGTGGGCCTCGGTCATGGTACTCTTTAGCCACTTGATGCTGTTAGGAAAGAAAAACAAATTTGGATCACATTAAATAAACTTTTAAAATCATTTTATGTAGTTATTTCTCAAACATTTATATGCAGTCTTTTATCAATATACAAAAGGAAGAAATGGCTTAATATCTGAATAAAATACAGTTGTGCAGGGGCTGCAAGTGGGTATTAACGGACACAGATGATGTTTTTGGGTACTAGACGCTGAAATAATTAACCCACTACTCAAACAAGAGAAAATTATTATGCAACTACAGTGATAATCAACTAACTGCTAATTATTTTGTCCAAGCTATGATGACAGTCATTCACTGGTTCCTGCTTGCCAAATGTCAGGAATGCACTGCTTTCCCTTTTATTTTTATAATATATGACTGTGCACTGAATATCTCTGGATTTATGACTTTTGGTCAGACAAAACAACCACTGTGATCTTGTCACTTTGTGCTCTGGGAAAGTATGGTGGATTTTATTTCCCCTATTTTCTGATATTTCATAAACAAAACAATTAACTGGAAAGGTAACTGGCAGATAAAGTGATAATGAGATGATCTTCAGCTGCATAGTTTGGCTATGTAGTCAATGGGTTAATGTGTAACAGAGGTACAAACTGATACAGATCAGTCTTGAAAATCTGATATTTTTAAATTAAAAGGTATGAAATGTGATATGTGATGTAAGCTCACCAAATCAAGTTCCATTCAGCTATGTTGACATGGCCATAAAGTACTGAATTGAATTTACATAATAATCCCTTTGCTGTTGTTACTGGCTGAAAACAGACGGAAAAACATGTGCAACTAAGAATAGAAAGCAAACAAATATGAGAACACTAAGAAAGAAAATCAGTGTTGTCAGTAGTTTCCTAAACACAAGGGTGTTTTGTTGCAGCTGACCTCTGCACTGCATACACAGATCAGCCAGAAAGGGCAGCAACATACAGCATACACAATTTTCTTACCATCTGACATATGGGGTAAAAGTCAGAGTTATCCCCTTTTGCAAAAACAACGCTGAAATGTTTCTTGGAAGAGCAAGGACCAAGTTTTCCCTATAGAGTTCAACTTATTTATATCTGGACTTCTTGCACATAAGATTGAATTCCTTGTTTTCTATTTCTGCATCATGTGTGCTCAAAAATCTCAAAAGAAGGCAAAAAGATTAATTATGTGCAACAGTGTGAGAAGAAAACGTCTGGAACAGGCAGAAATAACCTTGTATCCTTTTCAAACAAATGAAGTACATCACCCAGATTGACAGGTTTAGTTAAATATTTAGCGCTCACTTCCAAAGATCTCAGCCTGAGCCAGGATGTTTTCTGAGGCAGACTTTAACTGCAGTAACATGGAGAGAATTAATGGTGGTGTGATCTTCTTTCTCTGGCAAGATTTTTAAAGGGGAGATAAAACCTTTGTTAAGAGACTTGAGGGGTGCTGCCATAAAACACCTGTGACCTTTTCCTTTTTGTAAGCTCAAATCTCCCTCTCCCTCAGTTGCTACTGTACAGTTAGGTTCATGTATGTTCAAGGTTAACATGCTAGTAATAACTGATGCTTGTTGTCTAAAGAACCAACACTAAGTGGTGTTCCACAAGGCTTCATTTGTGGGCCATTGTAATTTTCTATTATACTTCACAAAGACTTGGAACAGTGTGGAATACTTCCTTTAAAAGAATGTAACTTTATTATATTCAGAAAAAGTACAATGTTTTGAGCCCAGACTGGCTCCTCGTCTCTGCCAATCTGGGCTTCACATGTACTTCTTGAAGCATTGCCATCTCTTTTTTTCCAAATAATTGTTCTAAAAGGGGTAAAAAGGGTTCTTTTTATTAATCCTTACTTCATTTGATTGAAACTGGATTTTTTGTTTCTTTTATATTTGACTTAAAGCTCTCACTGTGTTTCTGTTGACTTCCATAAAGCCGTTTTGTTTGAGAATAACCTATTTTAGACAAAAGTGAAGTGTTTATCTATTCAAACAGCTGAAAGCATTTAGTCACTAGTGTAATACAGCATGTTCGCACTGTCAAGTGTGACCCAATTTTTTTTTCTTTTTACAGAAACCAGCAACACACTGATGCTCTATCACACACACAAAGACTTTCCAGCCTCTTTCATGCACTCATACAATCCTACTTGCTGTCCTTGATTGTAAAATAAATGACTCTCATTATGCTGAAGCTCTGCTCTGCTCTCTGGGCCACTTCTTCTTCCACCCTTGCTTTCTGTCACTCAGGGGAAGAGCATGAGCGTCTTGAATCCAGGTCTATCCTCTCTCACGTGTTTAGTCAGAAATACATGCACCATCATACACATACTTGTAAGTGCGCACACACAAACTCACACAGGAACAGAGGAGGTGAAGTCAGTTTCTGCTGACCTCACCTGGATGAGGCATGCTGAGGTTTTCAATGCATAATTATTTACTATAAACGTGCTAGGTTAAATGACATATCTGTCTGTGTAAAGGCTGCTATTAATGATAGTTAACGACAGCTTAGAACAAAAGCTCCTCTGGTAAGTCTTCCAGCCAAAAACTATATTAAAAGGATGCAACTATTTTTAACCAAAAATGTTGCAATAAAAGTCTGAAAGGAAACAGAAAGTATTAATTAAATTAACTTTGCACATAGACTAAAAACTTGAAAACTAGAAAGTGACTTACTGTTCATTATCATTATGTTATTATGTTTTTAATTTAGACAGTAACTATGTCGTGTTTCATAGAATTTATGCTACACTGTAATAGGGTCCATAATAAGGTAAGAGACAAGTCACATGAACCTTGAAGTGATAATACATTACATTTCAAACTGGTTACTCTGTATTGTTTACTGATTAAATACAGCAGTTGTTCGACCTTTAACAATACAAGAGGTGATAAGCCGATGAAAGCCTTTACATTTTTAAACTGGCTTCTAAGCATGTGGTGTTAAAAAAAGGACAGTATGTGATTTATACACAAGTTTGTTTGGTATAAACAGAGCAAGCACTAAGAGGTTTGTGCGAGTAATAATGGCAACATAAAACACAAGGAGCAAGACATTCATTATAGCTCAAGCTGTTTGATAGATACGTGTACTGTACTCTATCAAGTGTGGTGTGACCACAGCAACCAAAACTTAGCAACAAGCTTCTTCCAAAACAAAAAAGAAAAACCAGTGTATCCAGTGGATGGTGTTTTCATGAATGGCCATGTTGCCTGCATGAAACCCTTGTCTTTGACTGGTGGAGCCTACCTGCCAATCGTCCTGTGTGGCTCCTTCCATCAGCAGAAGTGTCCCATGACTCAGGGGAATCCGAATCCGCTCCACGTAGGTGTAGTCGCCATTCTCTTCCTAATACATAAATGTGGCACAATGTAGTGTCACACCACATGTTAAAGGCACATTCCGTTACCTGAAAATCACTACTAAAGGTCAATATATCTCATTTATATCAGGGCTAATGAAGTCTGCCTCGTAAAGCTTGATTTATGGCAAGTGGCCTATGCCATTGTGAGCATCTATACTTGTGCACTGATGTGTCTGTGTTGCCCTGCAAAATTACACCAACACAACTCTAGCTGGTGGTGGTGTTTCTGTGCCATTGTGTTGCTTTTCCTCACCATTTACTAACAACAGCAACTGAAACTGAGCCGATCATGCTGGAGATAAAACCAACAGCTGTTGAAAAGCAGTTACTTTTACTGAAATTACTGCAACACAGATAAGAGAGAAGATGCTGGAGGAGATGGTCTGTACAACTAATGAACCAGCTGAGGCAGAAAGAGGTGGGATTTTCTGTTTGCCTGGCCACTGAGAGTGGAGGAAGTGCAATGCAACCAATCACAGCTGTTGCAGTCTGCGTTGCCATGATGTGTTACATTTCTGGAGAGGTGCACGTGAGACTACGGCGTAAGGTACAAGGCTACACGTTACCTACGGTGTAGATTCAACACAAAACCATAAATCAAGCTTTAGAACTTTAAAACTTGACCTAATATACCAGTATTAAACACAGGCCTCTAAATGCTCTGCTAAGTCTAAACACAAGAAGTGACTTGAGACTTTGCTGAGTCCAGTTCTCATAAACTCACGTTGGGTGCTGTTCTGCAGTCCACTAGACTCGCCTCTTTTTATAGTAGTTATTAAGTAACATGCAGTAGAAGCAGGGTACAGACATTTTGGCTGGGAGCTACCACCAAATTAACTCAAGATATACTGTATAAGGTTACATAGAGTGTTTGCAGGTTTTAGAAGGCCAAATCAAATACTTTATGAGACCACTTTAATGAATACTGAGGCCTAGATTTCACAGCCACCTGAGACCATGTAAGGAATAAACGTAATGGAAAGATTGGAGCTGGATTTAAGGTTAAAACAGTAGGAAAACAGTGCTACAATGAAGTATAAGGGCAGGAAGAGAAAATAATACCGAGACATTCAGTGTTCGGTGGCATAATTAACTTAATAACTATGTAAACAACACATGTTATGCTGTACCCAGTCCAAATGTACAAATGGGCATCAACTTGGAGCAAATCAAATCAATTTCCACGCTCTACCATCATCTCACCGGAGGAGGCTGCTTACGAAGGCCGAATACTCTGGTGTCGCCCAGACTGAGGGAGGCGATGGTGGGCTTTGCACCCAAGGAAGCCTCATCGTCACTGTGCCAGCTGATACTGTCATGGCCATCCCGATACAAGTTGCACAGCAGTGAGTTGAAACTGCGTCCGCTCACCTGCTCCACTGCCTCACGAAGGGTTAACAGCAATGGATGCCACTTTGAGGAAGAACATAAAAAACAAAGAGTTTGGCAAATAATAGAAAAGTATGAGACAATTACAAAGGAAGAAAATAAAGATGTGGAAAAAGGAAACAAAAGTGCACAATTTAAATATGGTGCAATATAAGTGAATACGCCCCCTTGTTTAGACTATACTCTCCTTCGATTAACTCATCGGGAGGAAGTAACAAAACAATGCAAAATAAATGTACAAATCATGAGAAACACAAAAAGTGAGTGAGAAATTAAGAAACAAAGAGAAAAGAAACAGACACTGATGTAAAACTGTGTCAGGGTGTTAAGAAGTGTAACTAAATTTTTGTGTCATGCAGTTCATCGAACCTGTGTGTTAGCAGCCATGGTCGAGTGAGCGTATGTATAGGGTAACTCTCCATACCAGCAGGTCAGCCTGGGCTCCTCGTATGCCTCACCTACAACAAAACACACACACACGTTGTATTTCCATCATTTCAGGGAACACTACATTGACACTGATTTCTTTGAGACTTGCCCTAACTCTAAACCAATTCATCACTGTAAAATGTAAGGATTTATGTTCTGGGGACTTGCTTTTTGTCCCCATAAGGAAACCGAGTCATCCCCACTGTGACTGTGTACACAGATTTATGTCCCCACAGCATGAGTAATACCAGGCCCCAGGCATGCATGCATGCACGTGCGCGCGCACACACACACACACACACACACACACACACACACACACACACACACAAAGCTTTACTTTAAGAGAAACAAACCATGGTCAGAACATTTTGTGACCTCTATCTCAAATAGTATCTGGTTTACAAAAAAAATACCAGGATTTTCCAATAAATCTGTACTTATCAGACCTGGATATTCTTTATAACAGGTCAATAAAACTGTCAATATTATACCAAGGTTTGAGTGCAAACACTGAAACTAAAACCTTTTTTCCCCAATTACCAAAATATATACTGCTTAATACATTAATCATAAGTGGTGTCAATAAAATATGGTCAGATGAAGGTTTCCTATTAAAAGGTAGGGTTGGCGAGTCCTTCCAAAAGCATTTTTGTTACACATCTTGAAATTCTCTTTTCATCCCAATGGCAATGAACACATTTAATGCACTCACAACACAAAGAAACAAAATGTATCTGTCATCTGTAGCAGCAGCAGGGCTGAAAAAAGCCTGACCAATAATTTTACTCGTCCCGAGCAAAACCACTGGATGGCCTTCTTTCATGTCAGCCTACTTCCTACTTGTGCACACTCTGCCCATGCACTCAGTGCATGAGCCAAGAGTCTCCCACAAGGCCTTGCAGATGCAGGAAGATGTGTTACCACTGTTTTGATAGCTAAAGCTAACGAGCTATGGCAGAGAAGGTGCCCACAGCAGCTTTTGTTCGCAAACAGAGACCGTTGTTACAGACCAGACCTTCCTCTTTAAGACATATAGCCTTATAGGTAATATTGTTGCTGTTGCCAGAAGTTGCTACCTGGATGCAGTGTGTATGAGAGCAAGAAGACAGCTGCACTGAACAAACTCCTTACATGTTGCCAGACAGTAGTCAGCTCTAACTGTATAGACAGGATTGTAATGCCGTTAACTGTGCATCAATGGCCACATGCAATGTTCATGTTACCAAGAAGGAATAAAGCCTGTGACTTTAAGGCTAGTTGCTGGCTACGAGCCAGCGTTAAAGCAGTTTAGCCATGGTTGAGGCACATATACAAACACAGTCAGCTCTGTCACTAGAGTCTGTTTCTAGCATAAGGAAAGATAAGGTAAACATCTAAATCAAATTTCTCACTGTCTGTCTTCCTCCTGCCTTGGTGCATCTCTCTTTCTCTGGGAACAACTAGATCTGTTCCAAGAACCAATTATCTGCCATTAGTGTATTTTGGCCAGCCCTCTGGAACGAGAACATGGTGAAACCAAAACAAATTTCTCGAGCAGACATCACTTTAATGGCACCAAATCATTTATCAGCTCTCATAAGGTTTAGTGTTTCCATAAAAAGATGTTATCAGTGGGAAAAGATTTTTTTTTTTTTAACTTGACACACCCGCAGGGTCCAGTTTGGAGCCCTGAGCAATGGTTGGAAGAACTGAGTTAATGTCTTGGTTTTAAAACAAGACAAAATAAAGATCAGTTGATGTAGGAGGACTAGATGATGGAGACTAGTGAAGTATTAACACCAGTTTGCCACTCTTCCTCTTGAACCAACATCACGTAGACTTTGTTAACAAAGTCTTAGGAGTGATGGATCGAGGATTACACAAGCTGCCTTAGCAGTCAGCATTTAGAAATCATCTTGTTTTCATCATGTTGTTTGTGTGCTACAGGGCTTTTGCAGAATAACACACAAAATGGATGAAAGCCAGCTAAGAGAAAGGCTAACGTCTGAGGCAAAGTCTGACTGCATCTCAACAGGCTCACCACATATAATCTATCTGGGTACAATCTATAAGTTATTATTTTCTTTTAAAGGGAAATGTTTTCCTAAATGAAGCCTTTGACCAGCATTTTTTGCTTGTTGTCAAATTCTGCAAACCCTAAAAATAGACTGTACCAACTTGAAAAACAATCTGGCATGTGTACTAAACAATTAATACTATGTATATTTTATGTAAATTCCAAATATTCTGTAGTTAAACTAAGAGATTTAAAGGGTTTTGCAGCTTTAGAGCTGTGCACTCTCCAAGTCCTTTCTATTTTTCATATGTACCAAAAAGTGGTAAACAAAAAAACAGGGGACAAATAAAGTTCAACACTGCACTGCAGCGAAACTTGAACAGACATGAACCCAGCAGCAAAACAGCTGCATTAAACCCTGTTTATCCTCCAGCTGACACCATAGGCCTACATTTCACCTCTTCCATACTGCTTATTCTTAAGCCCCTAGTTCCCACCCTGTCTGAAGTTGGTCTTCTGGGACCAGGGAAGCTCTGCTAGTAGCTTAGAGAACATCCAGTCAGCCTCTTCTGGTTGAAGAAATCCCGGCAATAGCCGCAGTCTGGACAGATGGAAGACAGAACACACACACCCCCACAGAGAGAGAGAGAGAGAGAGAGAGAGAGAGAGAGAGACATTGAGTCACCAGAAAGGTAAGGTGGATATATGAAGTAAATAGCTCATATATTTGCATTCTTGTAGTATTTGCACAAGACAGTCCAAAATGGGGTGCCAATCACAAATCCCTGGCTCAAGCCTGTAAGTGGACCTTTTCTTGTCATCTCTCTAACAAAGGCATTAAACTCCACCAAAATAAAACAAAAGGATGGTTAAGAATATGCATGCAGGAAACTAATCTTTTATTTTATCAAAGCACCATAAATTTTCAACATTAACTTTCAGTGTGACAACAGCATAAATGTTGTCTTAAACATACAAAATAGACATTCACAATAACAAAATAAATAAATAAAAAAAATCATGAAGACTAAATAAGCTTGAAAAAACTTGCACCACATTTTTGTTTGTTTTTTGTTCTTGTTGTTCTCAAGTTTATCACATTCTCAAAAATTAATCATTTTTATTTTATTTATTTTTACCCAATACACATAGTTTTAGCAGGTTATCTGACAGATACCAGACCTGGCGCAAAACTCAGGCTCTAGGTATTTTAGTCTGACAATCATCCAAATGCCAAAAGAGTACATAGAAATTCCGGTTTCCATTTTCAAGATCAGTTTGCCATATATACCATAAATATGACTACATATTGTATTTAGCATCTATTTAAAAAAATATGACTCGTAGAATAAATGAGGTAGAAGGCACGATGTTCACCGAGGGGCATATAAGGAATTACTTGTTGGATTACCGCCATCTTGTGGATTTGAAACTCTCTCACAGATTCATCATCAGCTGTGAATGCACTTGTTTGGCCAGGTCACATCATTGTTCATTCTCCCCTTTTTGGTAATTTTTTTTCATCTATACTTCCATGTGAGTGAGATTCCCCCTCTTTTAGACTGTACTCACCTGGACAACCCTGAGGGTCCATGGCTGATCTCATAATCACCTTCCTGTCTGTCCAGAGCACAATGTTGAATGTTAGTCTACATGTGTATACTGTAGAATACAGACAAATATCAAATCACAACATGTAACGTGAAACAAAACCCTGTTCACTAAAGACAGAGTGTGGAACTTACTCTATCACCTTCTCTGGTGGGACATTTCGTATTGGCTGTGATAAAGAAATAAGGGACACTGAGCAGTTTCTTGAAAGTGCATTTGGTAATAGACCAATTTCCCCAAAAGGTTTACTGCCTACCTTGGTGGGCTGATCAAACGCAAATGTCTTGGATGTTTTCTGCGGCCCATATCCCCATGAACCAGGGACTGGCTCAGCATTTTTGGACTGATGGTTGCATGAGACCGCACCTGTTTAAAAGACAAAAATAAGAACCATGTTTTCTACATATAAGGCAGGCTAATACTGAAGGACTCAGAAAAATGTTTTGTGAATAATGTGTTTCAGCCAGACACAATTTTGTTATGTAAACAGCATAATTAAATATGTAAATATAGAAATAAGGATCTAGAATATTTTTTGTTTTATTCTCTGTGTTGCTTTGTTTTAAAATGAATTTTTCTTTTTCTGAGCACTTATAACATCATTTTCTAACAGTAAACTGTACATTGAACCTTAACTTACCTGTTGCTCCTGAATTTTTTGGCAGTGGTTTGGCCCAGGAGCCCTGGACTCTGATGCGATGACGCTTATCTGACATCAAATCACTCCTGCGGGATGACAAAGAAGGAGAACATTTTCTTCAACATGTAGATACCTTTTACACACACAAAGAAAACTATCCAAGAACCAAACAGCTAATCACTTGTGCCAGATTTTTAAGAAACGCTGACACATTAATACATAAAACTAAGGACTTCCGGAGAGAATATATGGAACTCTTCCTTCTGATAACTCACAAATGTTAACCCGCATTTTAGCAGTTTCATTTCATTTGCTGAAAAGGACAAAACTGACACTACTTGTGGAGGTAGGGCAGGTCTGCCTTGTACAAAAAACGATTTATTTCATAGCATGCATGGCTGTGTGTGTGCAATGTGTCGTGTGTGCTGTTTTGGTATTGTAATCCCATGTAAGTTAGTCTGTTTTGTCATCATCGTCATAAAACATACTTTCATTGCTGTTATTTTCATGTGTGCTATATTTTACTGTATCATGTAACTTCTTTGATGTATATCTGCTCAGCTTATGCTGCAGGAACAGGCTGATAGACCCTTTAACAAATTCTCCATTAAGGTAATCGGCTATTTTTAAGATAGCAGTCTAACTGAAACAAACTGTGGTTAAGAAAGGCAGTTACTTACTCCAAGTAACGTTATAAAAAAAACTATCTAACATTCTTAAAGTTAATTCAATGCGGTTTACGTTCATTTTTTTTAAGGATTACGGAGAATTTTAGGCAGATACCTTGACGCAACAACAGTCGGTAGAATGGACAGCCATTAAATTCTACCGGAAACTGAGGTGTAGAAATCCTGTTCCGCCCAATTGTTGATTCCCAATTGTGGTGTCCGGCAGTGCAAATCGTTCATTTGTTATTTATCAGTTTGTTTGTTTGTTTAGGACACACATGCAATTTATGTGAGCATTTTCATTTTATACGACTTTACAACTGCACTCCATTACAGTTACGGGTGAAATATTGTACTTTATATTATTTTGACAGCTGCACTTTAGGTACTTAGGTTTTAGTTTTATATTCAAAACATGCCCAGTTTTGAATTGTAGCCTACAGTATACATAGCAATTAGTTTCAGCATGACCAGCCACAACATTAAAATCCTACATGTTAATGCATCAGTAAATATATAGAGTATAAAATAACATATAAGCTAATGTGATAAAGGTCAATAACTAACCCCTGTGTTTTAATAATGTAACACTGTAAAGGAAAAAATATTTCTGCATAAGGAGTAATTTCACTTTGCACTCTGAGTGCAGTTTTTGGATCAATTTGTACTTAAGTACATTTTGTATAGAGTACTTTTTCCTCACAAAGTATTTTCAGTGTGTTATTGTTACTTTTACTAGAATGATGATTACATTTCCCACGGTTGGCAGATCTCAGTGTGTTTACTGTGCTGCTAAATAAATTAAATTCCCAAAGTCTTAAAAGCTATTATTTGATCCAGCTACAGTACAGTACCTGCAAACAATGTAGGCCATGTGTATACAGTACACAAGACAAAACAGTACTATATGCTAGACATTTTATTAACAAAAAATTTGAAAGCATAAGTTGCCATCAGAATGGTACACACATTTCTATATATAAACATATTAATTTAAAGGATACCAAACACTCTTGCCAAAGGAAAAGGATTCACAAGGCTGTTTTGAGTCACCAGTCAGACCAAGTCATATGGAGTATTTGTGAGTTAGCTGTGTAAAAAGGTGCAGTTCCTCAGTTTTTATGACAAATATTTGGTAGTATGTGCAGTTTGAATCCACAGCTGATGGTGTAAAACCCTGAAACCTTTGTTTTAACATCAGCTAGAGACACATTTGCCCCACAAGCAGTGATATTCTCTGTCCATGTAAAATCCTTTCAAAATCCAATGGGTGAACCAAATGTAGAGGTTAAGCACAAAAAAGGGGACAATTTTTTCTTTGGTAAATACTGATTAAGACAAGGCAGAAGTGAGCAACTGTATAGTTCACACAGATATAGCACCAGCTGCATCACATCCTTTTTAGAATACAATTTTAGCTACTCAATACCCGTTCATTGAATCAAATTCCAGTGTTAGTGACAGTAGAGAAGCACTTGTGATTAATGACAGCAAATAACTATCAAAAAATAAAAACTTTGTTGAAAACAAGTGATACCTTAGTCCAACAACAACCCACGACAAAGTATTTTTTAAAACATTTTTTGTAAACATGTAAATAGAGAGTAAGAAAGAGCCAATGGTTGGTAACTCAGTGACAGAGAAAGCAGAAAATTGCCATCTTTTTTATGGCTCAATGATATGTAAACAGGCCTAGACTGAAAGCTCATCTTAAAGGTCTGAGTTTGGCTCTTGTGTCAGAAATATAAAAAATATGTATATATTTATATCAAAAAAAGATGCCCACCACCATTTTCCACTGCTTACAACAGCAGGCTTAACAAAAATCACAATTTCTTTTTCTGTATAGTTTTTACCATCAGTGTCACTGATAAAATGTCTTAATGTCCTTTGCCAGAAGCATCTTTTTATTATCATTTCATCTCCTACCTGCTTTGGTTGTTTCATTTCAGATAAACCATAACAGGGCAGATTGCTGTTTGCATTATTCATTTACTGAAGGCACAAAAGGTGAAATCTCAGGCAACCCTGGAGGATCAATCACATAGATACAAAATAATCCATCTCTTCATTAAACGCTACACTGGGTCAGAACAGTGCAGCTGTCATCAGCAATCTCCCTATTCACTCTTCAAATTTGCTCCATTCTTCTGGTCTCGCAGCTTCCTCCTCTGCAGGTATCCTGTGCGCTGGCGACGGTTCATTCCAGCTCCCAAGTAGATCACAATACTGCTTGGCACTAGCTTGGTTGTCACCCAACCCTGCAAATGAAGAAAACAAAAAAGGGGCATGGGCTTAGTATCAATTTAAATAATATGTTTTAGGCTTAAATCCAAGTGAAAAAGCAAAAAGAAGTGTCACTGAAAACTTCTAAACATCTTGAAAATGTAGGTTTTATGTCAATTATATTAATTTTGCAGCCCCTGAAGTGTTGTTTATATGTGAAATCCCTTGACAGAGTACAAGGCATTCAATGCTCCTCATTCTATTATTTTAAAGCATCTTCTACAAAGTTTCCACAAACAGAATGATTCATACACAGCCAGGACATACTGTATATTGGACATCAATTGCAACTCAACACTTTTTCTTTAAAGGAGCATTAAAAATCAACTAGAAAGCCTGATATTTGACAACATAAATCTGAAATTCTGTAACTAAAAGCAACATTCATATTTACTTATTGTAATGCTTGACAGATTCAGTACTGGAGGTTTCCCCTTCTTACCATGACAGCATGGGGAAAGTAGCCATTGGTCTGGCTCTGCAGACCCACAGTGTTCAGCTCAGCTGCTACGTAACGCTCTGGGGTGGGCTTGTCCAGGGTGGGCTTCTTGATGCGGGTCATCTTAGTGGCCACATAGAAAGGCAGCACGCTCTGTAGAAAACAAAGGGTAAATATGAAATCAGCTTAAACAAAAAACACTTCCTGGTCCAACAACAGTTGAAACAAAGTCCAAACTAAGAATCGTAAATTACAGCACAAATATAGTTTTATGATAATATTCAATTTGTGAAAAAAAAATAATGCGCCTTCCTGTCACACTGATCAATGGATGCATTAAGATGCACTTCATCTGAAAATATTGCTGTAAACTGGTCTAATGACTTGAGTGGGGAAAAAAAACACTCAGGCTGAAATTGTTGTATACACTCAACCACAAGGTGGTGCATGAGTGGATACTACGGAAGGTGCTAAAAACAGAACAAACAAGCCTTATTTGGAGCAACATAATGTCAAAAATGCTTGTGATGCGAGAAGCTAAAAATGGCACAAAAGAGGGATCAGTCATAATTTTGCATTCATTCCATTTCCCTTCAGGCTGAAAGCAACAAGTTGGATTTGGAAGCTTCTTTTAAGTAGAAATCACAAGCATCACAGGAACAAACTTTAAATCCATTGTCATGTACATCTATATAGTAAAAGGTATAATTAACGTGCTGTGCTCTGTACCCATTTTCTTTTAAGCCACAGTGCATGTTTGTTGACATGTGGACCACATGGGTTCAACCACATAAAGATGAGTGTAAAGGACTTTACACTATTTAAGGACTCAACATTTCAAGAAATAAAGTTTCCATGATCAAACGGGTAAAATTACAGTAAATAATTTGTTTTGCCGTTTTATTTTACAAATTGTTACCAAAACATGTTTTGCATCCTGTCATTCCCTGCCATCATTTTTATTATTTGTCTTCACAGTGGGACACCTTCATGGGAACGTTTTTCTGCTCAAAACTTATCATGGACTGTGTAGGAGAAAGACCAGTCCCAAAAGTCAAGCTCCAAACTCACTTGAATGATGATGCCCTGACGCCTGTATTCCTCCTGAAGGCCACGAGAGAAGAAATCCACAAAGGCCTACACACAGAAAATAATTAAAGATGGTCAGATTTCGATGTCTAGAGCATGTTGATGTGCTATAACTGCTTCCAACTGGAGCAAAAAAGTTGTGTTGGCTTGATTAAACAAGCAAATACTAACCAATGGTATTGGAAAAAAAAAAAATCTTGCTTGCTGATGGGTGACAAGTATAAATGTCGGACATACCTTTGTGGCAGAGTAGACTGTGAGCAGAGGGAGGGGGTACATGCCGCTGGCAGAGGAGATGTTGAGGATAACACCTTTGGATCTGAATGTTAACACAATAAGATAGACATAGGACAAGAACCTGGTTTTCCAGTCTGTCATGCCAAGAGAACATTCATGTCTAGAACAGCCACATTTCAGTGTTTTCAATGAATGAATGAAATTCCAGGACTCAAAAGCATCATGCACAGGTCAAAATTACACAGAATCATGTAGATTTGTAATGTTAACATTCCAAATCACAAGGGCTTCCCCTCATTGTAAAGAACTGATCCCAAAAAGGTGCAATAAAATAATTTTCTGAATTGTTTAAACTTTTCTTCTAATCCACAAACTTTCAGTGATTTTTCCAGACCTATGGGAACCCAGTGTCCATACACATTCAGCACACTGACACATCCACACAAAGTCATGTTACACACACAAACACACACTAAAACAGTGTGGTAGTGGCGGCAGTGTGCGTTTCCATGGCAGCCTGTTGCTGCAGTGATGTAGTGGAGAGACGCTTCAGCCTCACACAGCACCAAATGTGCCTGCACTGCTGTTGGCCAGTGGGAGTCACATGGGAACAGAGGAGCCAATCAGGTGGGAAGAGCACTTTGTGCCAATTGAAAGCTTGTCAGCATTG